ATACTTAAGACAGTCAACTCATAGAAAGACAAGGTTTATCTTGGCTCATATTTTTGAGGTTTTAACCCACGATTGAGCAGATTCATTTGTTGATTTTGGGTCCATGGTCAGGTACATCACGGTAGAAAGTGACTAGTAGACTAGCCACAGTGAACTACTCACCTCTGGCAATCAGGAAGCAAAGAGAGACTGGAAGGGGAGGGATCCCAATATCTTCTTCAAAGGGGTCTTAATCTCAAAGATCTAAGATCTCCCACTGAGCCACATCTCTTAAAGTTTGTGCTCCCCACCCCCACTAAATAGTGCCATGCTGCGAAATAAGCCTGTTATGGTTTAAATATAAAGTGTTGCCTTTAAAGTCTCATGTTTGGATAAAGATGGGGCCTGGTCAGAAGGGTGGACCCCTGAGGCTGTGACCTGGAGGTTGTATTTTTGTCCCCAGCTCCTCTCCCTCTGTTTCCATGGAATTAGCAGCTTTCCTCCACTAGGCCCTTCCACCAAGCCATTTCTGTCTTGAAACCAGCTAACCATGGACTGAACCTGCTGGAACCATGAGCCAAATAAACCCCTCCTCCTTTAAGTTGTGGACATTGAGTATTTTGTCCCAGGCATGAGAAGGTGACTAAGATAAAGTCTTTAACAAGAGGCCCTGACATGTGGTGGTGGTGGTATTATTATTCCAGATCCAAACAACAGCAGTTGTTATGTGGCCCTTGATTAGAAGTATAAAGGTTTAGGCCAGGGATTTAGCCAGGGATTTAGCTCATTGGCAGCATGCCTGCTTCACAGGTGCAAGGACCTGAGTTCAATCCCCAGTACACACACACACACACACACACACACACACACACACACACACACATGCAAGTAGAAAGATTTGCAGCCATACAGAAAATGTATATGTAAACCAACAGAAGAGGAAACAGTGGTGCAGGCCTGCAATCCCAGCACTCAGGGAGGCTGAGGGTAGAGGATAGCAAGTTTGAGTTACAAATGAGCAACTTAGAAAGAGTTGCTCAAAATTAAAAGGAAAAAAAATGGGCCAGGGATGTAGCTCAGAGGTAGAGTACCCCTGGGCTTAAGCCCCACACCAAGAAAAAACAAAACAAACTACCCCAAGCCTGTACCTTGATAATACATGTGTGTGTGTGTGTGTGTGTGTGTGTGTGTGTGAATTTGAGGATGACAATTAGAGAGGAACATGTTTTAAAAATAAAAACAGCTTTGTTAGGTATGTAGAATTATGATGACTACATCTTTCTCATGATATTTTTGAATGTAACATTAAAAACTAAAATAATAGCAATAACAATAATGTGAAAGGAAATCAAAGGGGATGGAGAAATGTTTTTCCCTCTAAGCATTTATGTGCCTGCAACTCAGAACCATAGCTTTTTTAAAAAAATTCTTATTTTATTTCATCCCATTCCCCCTCTCCCTTCCCTATATAGGAAAGCTTTGTTTCCATTTTTTCCTTCTATTCAGAACCATAGCTTTGAGAAGACCTATTTTAAGCATAGATGAGAAAGGTCTTACATTATATCATGTGAACGTGTCATCTTTGTTATACCCCATTTTCCATAAGTAAAGTATTGAGTTAATTTTAAAACTTGTTGGTAGACTTTTGTGCCAACCAATAAAAAGTATCACTGATGATAATATGAATAAATTGTATTTTATCAGTACTTATTTTAATTTACTACTTATTGGTTCCCCTAACAGATACTTGCATATATATTTAATTTTATCTTTTCTAAATTTTTTGGCCTAAATTTTATAATTTCTTGCAGAAATGTTTAATTATATTTGAAAATCTGCATTTGGGGTTATTTGTATCAATTTTGACAGTGTGAAATATCATCTGCACACAAACATACATACATATAAACTACTGTTTTGAAAAGCCTCTGAATAATATTAGACACATCTAATGATGCCATTCAAATATTCTTGGACTTTGCAATCCATGAGGAAAATGAGAGGAATCGCTGTGAACAGAAGTTAAATTCTGTGCCTAAGGTTGCAAAGCCTCCTGTCAAGAATGGAGACTTTGGATTAAGAACCTTCCAGAGGGGCATCACTGGGCCCTGCCTGCTGACAACTCAGCTCAGTGAGCCAGGGAGCTTTGCCTGGTGTTTCTGTACCACTCTTAGGGCCACAGGTAGCAGGCCTCAAGTTGGTCAGTGTGACCCAAGAGGACGAGGGTCGGGACTGTCTGGGAATCTGCAGAGACCCTCCCATCAAGAGGGGTTCCAACACCTCCCAAATGTGGGTGAGTCTCCTCCATTTTCTTCAGTGTGGAAAGTCATGTGCATAAATTTGGAGACTGGATCATGACAGGTGAACCCACTGTAAATGGCACACTCTCCTCTTCTGTGAAGACCCTTCATCTACCTTTTGTTCTCTTCTGACTCTGGGGAAAGAGCCCTCTGATGACTTTCACCCAGCTTTTGGCAGGTGAATACAACCCTTCCAGGCAAGCTCCCTGTGTGCTGACTTAGTCTTAGTGTCTATGTGGCCCCAGATCTGCTACTAAGGAGATGCCAGCAGGCCCTCCGTTGGTCAGGGCAAGCTCCTCCTTTCCGCTAAGGTTTCACAGTTAATGCCTCACCTGCTGCTCTCTTTGCTGGTGAGCTAGCATGGTTCTATTGGAGGGAAGCAGAGCCTCATGAGAGGTCCCTGGGCTACTGGGGCATGCCCTTGATGGGGCAGTGGGCCCACCAGCCCTCTCTGTTGCTCTCTGCTACTTGGCTCATGGTGAATGCAAGTCACTCTGATGTGTGCTCTCCCCATGACCCTCTATCCTCACCAGAGGCCCCAAACCACCAGCCACCTGGGCATGAACTGGAACTTCCAGAACTGTGAGTGAAAATAATCCTTTCTCTTTAAGTTACTATCTCAGGTATTCCATTATCGAAATGCAAAGCTGACTGATACATAAGGGGAATATAGGCCAGTCTGGACCTGTGCAATGATAGAAACATCCTAATCTGTGCAGTCCAAACTGGTAGCCACCAGCTATGTCTACTGTAACAGAAACAGGATTTTGCATTTTACTTGATATTATTTCATTTCCATGTAAATTCAATATATGCCAGTGTTTGCATCCTAGTGAGTACAGCTTTAGCAGTGGTGATCTGGAACTTCTCCAGAGCAGCTTCCACCCTGCCTAGCCCACAGTGGGGTGGCTTTTCTCTTTTCCCTTCTGTTTTGAGGATTCCTCATCTGTCCCCCCACCCCATTTGGTCCTCATTCTGTGAGGTTTGTCCCTCAGCCTCCATCCTCTCCTGTGGCCCCCAGAAGAACACCTTGCTCCAGGTAGCAGCTAAGGTTCAAGTTTTCTTCCATTTTGGTGTGGACAGGAGAGGAGTAAGACTTCCCAGCTTTTCCTGTGAGAGAAGAGAATGAGGTAAGTAACTAGAAACAACCCAAACTGTTGGGCCACATCCTTGCCACACTCCACCCCAAGTTCTAGTTTAGGGAGCCGACCATTCTGGCTCTGTTTTGGCTGACCACAGATTTGCTAATCTGGAACTGTGAGCTCTAGAACAGGGGTGGAGGGTTCTTACAAAAATGCACACTTTCTAGATCCTGCCATGAAAGCTAGTGGTCTAGGTGCATTTCTTGAACGGGTCTGAGAGCTGCTCTGATCAGCACCCTAAAACACTGGGAGCTTTTAAATTGGCCCACTCCATCCACTCCCGTAGACTGAGTTTTTCCCTTCATGCCTACATTTACTGCCGCTTCCAAGTTCCTGCCTTCTTCTTTCCCCACACTGCTGACCCTCCACACACACACACACACACACACACACACGCACGCACACCCACATCACTCTTTGAAGTCAGAAAAACACACCTAGTAATTGTAGGTAAGCCCTGCAGGCGAACTGAGAGTTCCCCTTCACCCCTGCAGTGTCCTGCACTATCTGAACTCCACGATGCACGCATCTTTCTAGGATGTTGGCCCCTTCAGCCTTTCTCGCTAAAGACAGGCTGCATTTACTTTGGCGCGTTTTGCTTGTCTGTGCCCGCAGGTATTTATTAACAGTGCAAGACTGCCATAAATCCTCACTTGGCAGTGATTCTCCCACTGCCCCAGCACCTCTGCCTTAGCATGCCAAGCATAAGCAGTCTAGAAAGAACTCTTCTGGGACTGGCCTGGAACTCATTGGCACAAGACAGCCTCTATCTATGGATACTTCTTTTAAGAGATTAGAAAGCTTCCTGGCAGACAAGAATTTTGTCCCAGGAGGTTTAGCTCTGCGGCCAGCATTACGTAAAGGACAAGAAAGTTCGAAGGCTTGCCTCCATTTAGTAGAATTCAGTCAACATAAAGAGTGGATTCTGAATAAAAGCAACTAATTTCTAGTTCCCTTCTGTTTTCTTTTGGCGGTGATGGGAATCAATGTACAACTCATTTGTAACCAAGGAAGCGAGACCTGAGAGAGATGCAGTTTGGGGGGAATTTAGAAACAATCCTGAGTTTATATGGGGAGGACGATGCATTCACAGACGTCTAAGAGATGGAGATGAAAATAGTTCTTCCTGCCAGTTGTTGCTCCTTTCGTAGAGACGGGGGTGGGCGTCACGTGGTTGAGGAGACTGCCGTCGCCGGCGGCTTGGATCTTCTGAAGGAAGGGAGCGCAAGCGGATCGCCCATCCCCCGACCGCTGGTCGTCGGGTCCATCATTGGTTCCTGAAGCTGCTGAGTTTAGTTAATCTTTACTGGAAGCCACGGAACGTTTTCCAATCCGCACAGTAGAGTCGGACCACGACACAGGGCAGCGCCTCCAGAGGTGCTGGTCCCGCCCCGCAAGGCTCTGCCCAGCGGCCTCGCTGAGCTAGTGTCCCTAACCATTGCTCAGCCGTCAAATAGAGCGGCGAACTACACGTCCCAGCAGGGCCTGCGCCGCGTTCACTCTTCCCGTCCACTCAACCCTGCAGGGCTGTGGTAGCAATGGACTACAAGTCCCAGTAGGTTCCGCGCTGCGCCTGCGCAAGCAACCCTCGAGCCCGGCCGAGCGCCTGCGCGCCGCACCCCGCTCGCTAGAACCGGGCGAAGAGTGCTGGACGCGTAGCTATCCAGTTTAGAAGTCTGTGGCGGCGGCAGGCGACATGGACAACGCTGGGAAGGAACGAGAGGCGGTGCAGCTGATGGCGGAGGCTGAGAAGCGAGTCAAGGCCTCGCATTCCTTCCTCCGAGGGCTGTTCGGGTGAGCGCCGGTGTGCGTACCCTGGGGGTTCCCGCAGAGTCCGGCGCCCGCCGCTCTCGAGAGACCTTTCTGAGCCCCGCCCCATTAC